CGTAGCCGGCCGCTTTCCCACCCCGCGAGCCGCCGTTGTAGGCGAGGGCGGCTTGGTAGGTGGTCGGGACCGGACAGCGAGAACTGTGCCTTTTGGGGCACAGCACTTGCCGGCCCGTCGGGGAGCTTCCCCCCACTTGGCGCCTTCCCTCCGGGGAGAGGGCTGTGAGGCTGTCACGGTGCTGCGGGCCGGGGGAGGCTTCCCGTGCCCGGGCAGGAGAGTGGAGTAGCCACCGTTGCTGCTTGCTGAGCAGAGACCCACGCGGGACCCGTTTCCCTCCGTGGAGTTGAGGTTTCCGTCCGCGGCAGGTCGCCGAGGAGGCCATTGGCCAGGCGTCCGCGTGCTCCACCTCTGCTGGCGCAGTTGTAGTGTTTCCGCTTGTGTTACCTGTGAGCGGACAGGTAGAGGACACTTGCCCAAGCCAGGGGCAGCACCTCTCCGCCCGCGGCCGAAATGGCTGGGGGAGACAAAGTTGCTGGGGGACAAGGTGCAGTTCTTGGAATGACACGTGGGGGAAGATTGTGGAAGCACCCTCCTCAGGTAGCCGGTCACTCAGCTCCTTCCTTCCCTGCCGAAGCCGGCCCTGGAGTATCAGCCCTGAGCAGGCCGCCAGAGACCGCCCGGCCTGTCTGCCTCCCGCCCGCGTGGGTGCGCTCCATAAAGGTGGCCCTAGTCGGTTGTGGAAGTTTCCGATTTGCAGGGGAGAATTAAGACTCCCAAGTGTTGAATTGCTTAGGGTTACGCAGCAGATCGGTGGGGTCAGGGTTTGACTGCCCCCTCAGGTGACACACTGGTCGCACTTGACTTTGTCCGGTGTTTTCAGGGTCATCCTCCAGTGGATTTGGTAAAGCCTTTCCTGCTTTAACACATTCTTACTAAATAACACAGATATTTAACATTTTCTGCTCTGGGCTCTGGAGCTTTAACTGTACGGTTACATCATTTTGCGAGAGTGAGTTGGTCCCCAGCCTGCCTTGTGGGATTACAAATGACAGCATATTTTTTCTGGTCAGCAGTAACGGAGCCAGCCTTTCTCCCTCTCACTGCTGTTGATACTGTGCTTGAGCCTACTTTCCTTCCCAGCAAAAGGACGATTGCCTGGCGAGACCACTTCACTGGAAGCGCCTTAGGGAGGGTCTGTGTAGGCCTCCCTGGTGGCGCAGCACTGCGAGTCTGGCCAGGGCCACTTACGCGCAAGTTCGATCTCCGGCCCCAGAGGTGACCCACAAGGCACAGCAGACCTCTCCTGTCTCCCCACTGCTCCCCTCAGTAGTGCACTTCATCAGGCGGCCTGTTCTGCTCCCCACTCTCTCTGGGGAATCCTTTCACTGCCCCTGCACCCCAGTTCTGTACGCATAAAAAAATCATATCTTAAAAGTAAAGGGTTTGTGTAGGTAAATGCTTTGGCTTCCTAAGAGTCTGGGTTTTCTTCCCTTCTGAGGTGGAATTTACCTTTCTGAAACGGCGAAGGCAAAGGGTCCTGAACAGTCACTTTGCATTTACGGCTAATGGACACCCTGTCTTGTGCCTGAAGCCTCGGTGAGACACTCGGGTGTGCGGTGGAAGCACAGCGCACAGTTTCTGCAGGGGCTTCACCCCCGTTTCATTCCGTGTGTGTTTTCTTTTTCTTGTAGTTAGAATTGTATTCTTAACAGAAATCGGATTTTAAGTCAGCTTCAGGCAGATTCGAGAAGTGGATGTCTGTCTGCCCTGCCCAGCCTTTCTGTCCAGTTTCCTGATGCTGTTTTTCTTGTTTTCCTTCTGGAATCCTTTACTTAGTGATTTGTATTTAGAAGCAGGTGTGAATCCAGGTAATTGCTTTAGAGTCTTCAGAGATATTCTTGCTTGAGCTTTACTGCATTGTTGTAACGGGAGGAGTGGCTCGGGGCAGGTAGCCTGCGTGGGGCTCTCCTTCCGCCTGCGGTGCCGTGCGGGTTTCTGGTGGTTGGCTTTACTAGAGCGTTCCTGCCACCTGTCTTCTTTTCTGTAGCATAAGTGGGTGTCATGTCTGTGCTTTGAAACCCTCCAGTGCCACCCCTGCAGTGGGTCAAGATCCAGCCTTTGCTGTGGTCGCCAAGACACTACGGTTGCCCTGGCCTTCTGCTGAGGTTCTTCTCGCATCTGGCCCCAGGCTCAGAGCGGGCCTCTTCAGAAAGACCTGGCTTGTCCGTAGCTCGCTTCGGTTGCTTTCTGTCACAGCTCTGACTTGCTTGCTTGCTTACATGTGTTTTGCCTGTCTTCTCCCACCGCTGAAGAACAAGTGACACGGCTGTGCTACGTCTGAGTCTCTAAGCCGCGGAAGTGGGATTTGTCGCGCCAAGTCGCCAGCAGATGTGTTAACGTGATCCTGTGGGATAGTTAGTCAAGCGTGAATCGTTTTAACTTGCATTTATTTGAAGGAAATGCTGATGACGTAGTGAAAGGGAGAATGGCCCTGCTTGTCAGCAGGGTCAGGACACGGGCCCTTGGCAGGCCGTCGGGCCGCGAGCTCCATATGCACTCTTCATTTTTAATGTAAAATGGGCATCGATACGGAAGAATAAAGACTCTGCAGAGAGACGTAGGTGTCCAGGTCTTAATTTACTGCTTACCACCTGGATGACTCTGGGTGAGGTCCTTAAATTGTGACCTTCAATTTCTGACATGAATAGAGATTATAACTATCTTGTAAGATTGTTGTCTAGATTTAAGAGGATAATGCCTGTCTTTTTGTTTACAGAAAACATTCAGATTATTTATTATGATGAGGCTGCAGATACAGATAGTCTTAAAAAGTTCCTGAATATTTAAAATAATCACAGCAGAACTGTCTTGCGTATAATGTTGAAATTTCTGCTCCCAGTCAGGAGCAGTTGAACGGGACCAGCCTCTCTGTGGTGAACTAGCAGACTCTGAAGAACTTGCGGGACAGAACGCAAAGTAGCATGTTCCTGCTATCTCCATTTGTCTTGTTGCTCAACATGAAGTAGATCGGCCTTAACGAGGGTGGAATGAGAACTGGGGCGGTTGAAGAAAGGGGGATATAGGACAGGAGGGTCATTTGTAGAGCAGACAATCTGTTGAGATCACCCTTCAGCTACTTTTTGGTAAAGACTCTAAATATTAAAGTATAGGATTGGAAACCCCTCCCCTTCTAGTGACCCCCGCTTCCATAGCTGCAGCTAATCCCCTCGTCTGTCCTATGCTTTGCCCTTCCTGCCATTTTCCCATTGTTTTTCCATAAGACCAGCACAAAAAAATCTCCTCATATGAGATGAACTGATTGCAGAGGGTTTGCAAGGTGCAGTCACCTTTTTTGATGTGCGTCAGTGGTTTCCCTCAGCTGTCCCGTGATGCTTCTACCCGCGCTTGCCTCGTGCCAGACACTGCTCGAAGCATTTTACACACAGACTCGCTCCATCGATCCACAAACTCTGAAGTAGGTGATGCTGCAGTCTCCTTTGAACAGGCGGGAACAGAGACGCCCCTGGACGGAGGTTAGCTGCCAGGGCTGACAGCTCCAGCTCGTCAGGGGTGGAGCTGGGGTTCTGTCCAGGGGTGGAATTGGGGTCCAGCGTGTTTATGCTCAGCCACCCTGCCTCACAGCCACCCTCTTAGCTGGCAGGAACTGTGCTCACCTGGCTTCTTTATTCAGACCAGGCCATGCAGACAAATGCGAGTGTGAGGTTTTTATCTTATGATAAAGTTTATTTACCTCCCTGGCAAGACTCATTCACCTTAGGTGTATAGGAGGGTCTGATACACATTTGTTTTTGTTTTTGATTACTTAAAAAAGGAAAAGCAGGGACGTGCACGGGATTATGGTGATGGCACACGGGTGACTTGGTGATGGGAAACCCGTGGGGATTACAACTAGATGGGAAAAAAAATGTACAAAATGATGTAAAAATAAACTGTTGTAAAATAAAAAAAAAAGGAAAAGCAAGTTGAACACGTCAGGTATTAAAGCTCTATTGGATGACAATCTCTAATGTGAGGTGCACTTAGATGAAATAATAAAATTTTTGAGGACAGAAAGTTTGGGGTGTGATACTGGCCAGTGGGGAGTGGTCTTTTTATATTTGGAGATGCCACCATCTGCGGATCCAGGACCCCTCTCGCAGCTCTGACCTGGGAAGTGCAGCTCTCTCCATTGCTTTCTTTGCAGTCCGGCTGGGCTCCCGGAGCAGAGGGCACGGCCCTGGCGTGACACCTTTCTGCACTTGTGTACAAAGATGATTGGTGGAAGTGGAGTGGAGCCCATCCTGGCAAGATGAATCTTGCTGGTACGCCCCTAACTTGCATTAGTATCTCCTGTTCAGCACTGGGGATATAGCCGGTGAGCAAAATGGAGAACAGTTTTTGCCTTCACGGTGCTTACACATTGAGTGGAGACAGACAGATAAACAAAAGAGTAAATATCCTAGAGAGTAAATATATTCCCAATGCTCTAGAGAAATACAAAGCCGGGGAGAGGAATTGAGAGTGTTACGGGATCTGCAGTTTTAAATGAGGCGGGAAAGGGAAGGGCCTCAGCGAGGTGCCATCTGAGCAGAGGGAGAGGTGTGAAGCATCAGACAGGAATGAGACAAGAGAACACAGCATATAAAGGCCCTGAGACGTGAGGTGAGTTTACCAAGCAAGGATAAAGCTTCTGTGGCTGAGGAGTAGTTAGGGTGAAGATTAACGATTAGCCGAGGCTTCAGAGATTGCAGTGGGCGAGAGAGTGGGGCGGAGGGCAGGTCACATCGAACTTTATAGCAGGGACTTTGCTTTGTGTCCGGAATGAGATGTGGCTGCATGGGATCAGGGTGTGTGCCGTGTGGACTGACTGGGGCTTGTGGAATCTGATTGCTGCGGAGACGGGATAGCTGTTGGGTGGCTTGTGTAGTGGTCCTGGTTTGTCAGACATTAGTGATTTGGACCAGGTTGTGACGGCAAAAGACAGACTGCCACTCCGGCCTTACTGGGAAGGTAGACCCAACCAAATGTCGACGTAGACTACATACGGGAGGACAGAGGAGGGTGATCCAAAATGACACTCTTCTTGCCTTAGTGACTGGAAAGAGCTGACATTGATAAGTGGAGCAGATTTTAGGAAGACTGGAAATTTAGGTTTGATTTGTCTGTGTTTAAAAATGTCTTACTTTGAGATACAGTTAACACATTTAAACAAAAATTTAAACATTTTATTTCTGTGTAGAAGAGCTAGGGAATTGGCCAGAGGTGCAGGGGTGGGAGTGGCGACCAGAACAGGCAGATCCACTGAAATCCACTGCTGAAGGGAGCAGAGGGGAGACTGGAAGGGCCTGCTGCTTGTTGAGGGTCACTCCCTGGTGGGATCCAAACTCAGGCCTCAAGCCATAGCAGTGACACCTGGAACACTTTCAAAGTTCACTTAAGCAAATTGTGGGATTCAATTGTTGGGCAAAGGTCCCCACAGGGCAACTCTTTAGTATGTAGATTTTTTTAGAGCCCAGGGCCTGAAGACCAGAGAATTAAGGTAGATAGAGAAGTGTAGAAAGATAAAATAGTAGTTAAATGTAGATAGAGAAGAGTCCAGAGAGAGTGGCTGGGGCTTTCTAGAATTTTAGATACCTCTTTCTGATCACTTGGGCTATTGTGTTACTGACTTAGGTGTTTGTGGTGTTTTTGCTTTTTAAATTTATTTATTTATGTATATTAGAACTGGGTTGCAGGCCAGAGGTGCATGGGCGGTGTGAGGCTTCACCACAGACCGAGTAGGGAGCAGAACAGGCAGATGGATGAAGAACACTGCTGAGGGGGCAGTGGGGAGGCAGGAGAGGTCTGCATCACCCCTTGGACCGCTCCAGGGTGGGGATCGAACTCACACCGAAGCATCCTGGCGTTAAATGTTGCCCTTTAACCTGCTGCACCACCAGGGAGGGCCCTGTTTGGTTGTTAACAGGTAAACTATATAGGTAACTATATGTTAGTTCCCCAAAGAAGTAATAAATCTCTTTTGGTATCTTGCATGGCCCTATTCTTGGCTTAGTTTTAATGGCACTTCTGGATTAGTTGGGCAGTAACTATTAAAATTCCCAGTTATAAAATTAATTGCATCACACCCCCTCAGCAGTTTCGAACGCCTAAGGCCACCTTCTCTTTATTCCATTCTCCTAGGTCATTGAGACATTAGTAATGCTTTCTTTTTTATTTTTAAGATTCATTTACTCATGACAGACAAGAGCTTTGGTTTGGGTCAGAGGTGTAGGGGTGAGAGGACTCCCCAGAGAGAGTGGGGAGCAAAATAGGCAGATGTGCTGAAACACATTGCTGAGGCGGCAGCGGGGAGACTGGAGGGATCTGCTGGGCTCTGGGCCCCCCCCCCCCCCCGCCGGGATGGAACTCAGACTCAGGGGCTGCGGAAGATAGCCCCTGGGCCGCTGGAGTCCCCCACTTGCCTCTTGGGTGATGTTTGAAAGCGTGGGCCTACCTGCATTATAATGTAGAGGTAGAATGGTATATAGTAAGCAAGTTGTTTTTGCGAGTATAATGAGACTTCAGGTAGTTGTGTTCTTCATTTAGCTACTTTGTCTTTCCAATGTAGGAGGGAGGTGTTTTGATCATAGTCTAGGTGGCTTGAAGCAGTCTGTAAAGCACAGCGGCACTCAGCCAGATTCCTGAATACCCTGTATACTAAATGGTGTGGCTGCTAGATAACCGCGAGAAACAACACATGTCAAATGGTTATGTGATGGGGAAAAATCTTGAAAGGAAAATGTCATCCATCAACTGTGGAAAAATTCTTAATGTTAAATTTACTCAAACAGGACACCACAAAGTTTTGGGAGTGATGTATGTGTGTGATTTCTTAGGGAGTGGAAGTTTACTCATTTTGTTCTTAGTAATTTGGTGGCTTGCCTTTTATAAACAAATAAATAACGGCTGTGTCCAAACGTGTTTTCCTCAGCTTTTGTTAATCAGTTTAGTTTTGTTTTGTTTTAACTTTTCTGAAGTTTTTATTGCCTTATAGTAGCACCCCAAGTCCAAAGGGGATACTTGGGCTGTTACTTTAAACCTTGAAACTAGCTGAGAATTAGGAATACTTGAGGCTTTTACCCTGGGGGAGGAGCAGAGACCGACGTAAAAATGACTCCAGAATTCAACACTGTTGTGCAGATCAGACCGATTACCTCATGTTTGTCAAGGAAACAGAAAGTAGTTGGTGTTTTGTAAGCTCTCCGTCCCACTGCCCCCACGGGCTGTGGTGATGGCACACAGGAGCGCTACATTTTATGGCAAAGTAGTAAGACCTAGTTGCTCCTTTTTAGGAAAAGGCAGCAATCCCATCTCTGCTTTGGGACGTTCATGGCTTTTGGCTAAGGTAAAGATAGTTTTTAAAAATGGCTCATTCTTTTTATTCTGAAAGAGCAGCATTGAAATAGAGGCTCTTTGATGAAAGAAACAAACGCTGACAATGCCGTGTTTACATTTTGGCTGTGGCCGCACCCTGTGCTCCAGAGCCCCCCTCGGCCTCGCCTCGGGTGCCCCGGGCAGAGGTGCGGCTCTGCTGCCCTCTGGTGAAGTTGCACTCCTGGAGGGCCGCCCTGCATGTACGGGGGATTCTGCTGCTGGTCCCCAAAATGGTCGCTCGCAACGGGAGCTCAATAGGCCATGTTAGGGTGATGCATCTGCGTCGGGGGCAGTCACTGTTCCTTGCGCTGTTGAAGTCTCTCAGTGTCCAAAATACGGAATTCAGAAAACAAGTTTCGAAGTGCTGAGTGATGGTGTCTGCAGTTTTTCCCTGGGGGCTGACAGCGATGGGCTTACAAGGAGCCCACGTTCTGTAACTCAAACAAGAGTTGCGCAAAACAGCAGGCTCTGAGGAGCGTGGAAGTGCGGGCCAGTCCCTCGTTCCAGGTGTCCGCATTTGTTGCTGAGGGCCTCTGCACTGTTGTGGGGTGGTCGGGCGCCTGCCCTGCCCCCCGGCCTGCCCCCCTCGTCGCTGGCCTCCCCGCTGCTAGCCGGCAGCTGCAGCTCCTCCAGCTCATGGGAGAGAGGCCCACAGGCCGCCGCGCCCCCCCCCCCGCTCGCTTGCTGGGCTCAGCACCTTGGGGGGCTCAGCTGCCTCACAGCCCGCAGCCCCGGGGAGTGGCGCCACGGCTTCTGGGCACTCAGGGGGCTCTTAGTGCTTGGACAGGTCAGCACAGGGTGCTGGAGTAAACTTCTTGACGCGGCTTTTGAATGAGCATTTTGTATTTTTTTGGTAAATACTCAGAAGCTGGGTGACTGGGTAATACGGAGTTTCTATTTTTAATTTTAGAACTGGGGTACAGGCCAGAAGTGGGGGGCTGAGAGGATTCACTAGAGAGAGTGGGGCAGGTCCATTGAAACTCACTGCTGAGGGGAGCAGCAGGGAGACAGGAGGGGTCTTGGTCTGCTGTGCCACTGGTCGGCTCCCTGGCGGCATCGAACTCGGGCCTCAAGTAGTAGCGGGGGGGCCCCAGGACGACCTGCATGCTGCCTCCTGACAGCTGCACCTTCCAGCCGCCCAGCGCCCCAACCCTGCTCCGCATGTCCTCGCCAGTGCTTTGGGTTTACTGCAGTTTCACCTGGGCAAGGTGGTCCATTGTTGCGATTTGGATTTGAATGTCCCTAATCACGAGAGATGGGGTAAGACGTTCCCCCAGTCTCTCCACATGTCTTCTCCCGGGCCTGTGGTGAGTTCTTTGCATGTTTTGGATATTAAACCCTGTGGACCCACGGGTATGTCCCCTGCTCAGTGGCGAACCTCTGTATGATGCCGATTTCCTCTGCTGCGTGGAAACTTTACAGTTCGCTGTCACCTGTTTATTTGCTTTGTCATTGGCGTTGAGTCCCTGGACACCTCCCAGGCCAGAGCCCAGGAGTGTGTGGCCAGTACTTCCTTCTGTGTGTCTGACGGCTTCAGGTCTGTGTCCAAGGCTTTACCTAGACATTTTGTGTACGAAGTTAGTGGTCTACTTTCATTCTTCTGCATGTGACTGTCCAGTTTCCCCAGTATCTTTATTGAGAAGAATTTCCTTGCTCCATTGCATCTCTTGGCTCATTTACCGCAAATTGGTGTCTGCACATGCATGGTTTTGTTTCTGGACTTTGCAGTTCTGTTCCGCTGATTAAAGGCAATACATGGAGCCCACAGCAGCATCACCCCCAGTGTTAAAAAACTGCAAGCCTCTCGCCACCAGTGCTGGGCACACAGCTGGAAGGCTGTTTGGCAGAGACTGTCAGACCCCGGATCCAGCCAGCCCAAGGTGTGCAGACGCCACAAGTCAGCAGCTGA